GAGATAAGAGTCTCATGGACTTTCCTGCCCAGGCTGGCTTTGAACCACAATTCTCAGATCTCAGCCTTCTGAGTAGCTAGGATTACAATTATGAGCCACCTGCACCCCAGCTTAACTTTTTAAAAGGCAAAATATTGAGGAAACTCTAATACTTTTTTGCATTTATTATATAGAATAAGAGCTGAGCATGGTATTCCTTCCAGCTATTTTGGAAGTTGAAGTAGCCTTGGCAACAGAATGAAACTTGTCTCATATAAACAAAAAAGTAAATGAATGAGTAAATAAGTAGGTAAACACACTAAAGACTATTGGTCATGATAGCATGTATTTATTTTTAGTCTTCTGATAACCATAGGAACCATGTAAGTGTAATCACTAATTTTTAATATTTAAAACAGGTTCATAAATGCTATATTACAGAAAAAAGGAAGTGATTATTATAGCCTGCATAAATAGTATTCTTTTTTTTTAATTTTTTTTAAATGTTTTTTTTTTTTTGGGTCCGGTCATGGGGCCTGAACTCTGGGCCTGGGCGCTGTCTCTCAGCTCTTCAGCTCAAGGCTAGTGCTCTACCACTTGAGCCACAGCACCACTTCCGGCTTTTTTCTTTTTGCTTATGTGGTGCTGAAGAATCGAACCCAGGGCCTCATGCTTGGAAGGCAAGCACTCTACCACTGAGCCACCTTCTCAGCCCATAAATAGTATTCTTAAGTTTGCAGTTTATTACTTTAAAGGGGATTAATATTATATGCTTTTTATAAAGCACTATGTGAAATGTCTTCAGTATGATTTTGTGAACTACTCACAAAGTATTAGTGAAGTAACTCAAACATATGGGAACATAATAAAAGATATTTCTTTGCTATTTAGCATTATTCTCTGGCAACTAAATTTAAAGCAAATCCCCCACTCTGTTAATTAACATTGCCTATAATACATTGTAGAACGTAAGAGTAGAATGTAGCTGTTAGTCTGATTGAGCATTTTGCTATTAATTTCATTTATCTGTTTATTCAACTTATACTATTATGTTCCTGAAATTAAAAACTAGCATTGATCTTTTCTTACTTTTTCTGTCTAGTGGAAAATGAAAACCACTGTGACTTTGTAAAGCTGCGAGAAATGCTCATATGTACAAACATGGAAGATCTGCGGGAACAAACTCACGCTAGGCACTATGAGCTGTACAGGCGTTGCAAACTAGAGGAAATGGGCTTTAGTGATATGAGCCCAGAGAATAAGCCCCTCAGGTAAAGGGAAAGAGGAAGGTAGAGGATTCTATCTATCTATCTCTCTCTCTCTCTCTCTCTCTCTTTTTCTCTCTCTCTCTCTTTGTGCTGGTACTGGGGCTTGAACTCAAGGCCTGAGCTTTTTTTTGCTCAAGGCTAGCACTCTACCACTTGAGTTATAGTTCCATTTCCAGAATTTTGGTGGTTAATTGGAGATAAAAGTTTCACAGGGGCTGGGAAGGTGGCTCAGTGATAGAGCACTTGCCTTGCATGCATAAGGCCCTGGGTTCGATTCCTCAGCACCACATAAGCAAAAAAAGAAAAAAGCCGGAAGTGATGCTGTGGCTCAAGTGGTAGAGTGCTAGCCTCGAGTTGAAGAGCTGAGGGTCAGCGCCCAGGCCCAGAGTTCAGGCCCCACCGCCGGACAGAAAAAAAGAAAGAAGTTTCACAGACTTTCCTGCCCTGGTCAGCTTTGAACCATGAACAGTCAGCACCTAGCTAAGTTTTTAATGGTTTAAATGTATATGATTCTGCATTGTTAGAGGTCAGTGAGGCTGTTTGTTGGTTTTTAATGCCCAAACTGAGCTCAGGGCCAGGGTCCTTACCATTAGTTTTTGTTCTCAAGGCTTGGTTCTCTTCCACGTGAATCACATCTCCACCTCTGGCCTTTTGGTGGGTTAACTGGAGATAAAAGTCTTATGGACTTTTCTGCACAGGCTGGCTTCTAACTCTGATCCTCAGATCTCAGCCTCCTTAGTAGCTAGGATTACAGATGTGAACCACAGTTCAACTTGAAAATTATACCTCTTTTATGTATCCAGAAGGGTGGGAATGTGATTTTGGAAATCTCCCAACATTATGAGGTAGACTCATTTGACAAAGAATAATGTGCTTCTCCGATCCCTTTAAACCTGTTGCTTCTGAAAGGTCTTTAAGTTCTTGTCTGACTCAAAAGTAGTTGAATAGAGAGAGAGGAAGCCATAATTTCAATACATGCTCTCATCAGTAACTGAAGGAAAACCCTCATTATTTGGTTTTATTTTTGTATTTATGTGAAACAGATGGAAGTACAGGTAACTTTAACCACACACCAATCATTTGCTCACAAATGATATTAATGACCTAAAACATCAGTAGGCATTTAGCCTTGAAAAAGTTTTGGAAGGATTAAAACTTAGCCAAGCATTTTGTAGGAAAGAATGAAAGCACTTGCAGGGAGTCTCAGAACAAATTATTTCTTATAATGATATAATATACTCTTGAGAATTTTAGGACCTACAAAGCTTCTTGTTCAATGATTAGAGCATTCAGTGTTTTTATGAACTTATTTGGTAATTTTATATGGTGCTATATTCTTGACTTTTTTTAAAGACCTGTTCATGTGAAATTTTAATCCTTTGTGTACTAAATCAAATTTGATTTAATGTAATATTCTAGAACATTCAGTGTTACTATAAACTTCTTTGATAATTTTTATGGTGATATCACTGATTTTTTTAAAGACATGTTCACAGAAAATCTTAATCCTTTCATTAAATCTTATTTGATATAGAATTCTAAAACATCATTTGCTTGGAGGAAAGCATTTGCTTGGAGGAAATCTTTAGGGTAAACAGTCTTTTGAGTTCTGAGAGTAAGAATTCCTTTTACATTCCACTTTAGTCATTTTCCTGGCTATTAGCACATACCTAGAGTATGCACAACAGGAATGAGCAAGAGAGAGTGCAATCAGTGCTTCAATCACATTTGACTCTCATGGAATTTACAAGCTGTACAAAGGACTCAAAATGGAACTGGAGATTACATGGTAAATAACACTTGTGTGCAGCAAAGGGAAGTTACAAAAAGTATAAGGTGGAGTCAGGGATTCTAGTTTAAGCTGGAAAATTAATGAAGACTTCCTTAAGGCAGTGATTATTTGAGCTATAATAATTGGGAAGAACAGATCAAAGCATATGCAAAAGCCTGAAGTTAGAGAAAGAATGGAAGACTCTGGAAGATCATAGCAGGGACAAGTAGTTGCTGGGGTAGTAAAAGCTTGATTAAGCAGGTGGGTAGGAGTTACAGCACAGAAGATCTAGTGAGGACTTTATACTCTATCCTAAAGGAAGACAAAGTTGTCTTAGGAGAGATACTATAGTTATGTTTTTTAATCACTAATAATATGAAGAAGGCATTGAACTAACTAGGAGAATATTTCTTGAACCAAAGCTGTGACATTTAAAGTAAAGAGAACTGGACATATAAATGTAAATGAGAACGTAAATGTAAATATAAAATGTAAAATGTGAAATTGGAATTTATTGATTTCTTAGATATAAAAAGGGAGAAAAACAGGAGTCTTGAGAAAGTGCTATGAGACTGTTTTTATCCTAGATTTATGTTTTCATTGGGTAGGTAGATGGTTAGGCCCTTTAAGACCTATATCTGATAGCTGTTTTGTTCAGTGGGGGTACTGACATCCAAGTGACAATGTCAGATAGGTATCTTCAATGCATCTTTAAGTGCTTATCTAGTACTCAGTGGAGAAAGGCTGGATCAAAGGAACACACTTAAGAGTCATAAGAAGACTGCTTGGAGGAAGAAGCCCATCTGCAAAGACAGGTGCCCCAGAAAAAGCCTTGTTTGTCAATTAAATTTGTCAGCCCAATGGGCAGATAAGATACTGAGATGAGGATGGAAGAGCAAGAAAAATAGCAATGGTATGTGTTAGAATCCAATGTGAAGCAGTTGAGGGTCAGCTTTATGCTATACATGAATAGAAATCAAGACTTATGAGTTGTTAAAGACAAAGAGCAACATAGAGGACACAGGTCAAAACTTACAGAGTCAAAACTAAACACAGTAGAAATTAGTTTGAGTCTAGCGGTAGAGTAAATGAACTAATGAAATTCTTGCCAGCCTATTGCATTTATAATTCATAAACCAAGAAGTGTTTATAGGCTGAATTTAGGTCATGTTTCCATCTCTTATTTAGGACTCGACCTGAACCTGAGTGATTGTTTTGTCAGACTGTATCTCTGGTTAGAAGTAATAAAAAAAAAAATAGTTCCTATAAGGAGATGGGTAGGTAGTGAGCATGTTTCAGATTTGTCAGAAGATACTGGTACATAGTTCTGCTTATCTGAGGTTAAATAAGATCTATAAAGTTTTACAGCTTTGTTATATCATCTTTTTAAAACTAGAATTTTTAGTCTTCAGGAGACTTACGAAGCTAAAAGACATGAATTCTATGGTGAACGTCAGAGGAAGGAAGAAGAGATGAAGCAGATGTTTGTACAACGAGTAAAGGAGAAAGAAGCTATATTGAAAGAAGCAGAGAGAGAGGCAAGTATGGTGGTTTGATATGGCTTACATTTTTTAGATGCCTTATGTAGTTGAGACATGAAGTCTCATTTTAAAAGTATCTATTTTCAAGTCATTCAAAGAACTCATAGCCTGAAATCCAATTAAAATTTTGCTTTTGAGCAAATTTTCTTCCATTAGTAATGATTTACAAAATACTTTTTTTTTTTTTTTTTGTCGTGGGGCCTGAACCCTGGGCCTGGGCACTGTCCCTCAGCTCTCCAGCTCAAGGCTAGCACTCTACCACTTGAGCCATAGCACCACTTCTGGCTTTTTCTGCTTATGTTGTGCTAAGGAATCAAATGTAGGGCCTCATCCTTGCAAGGCAAGCACTATACCACTGAGCTACCTTCCCAGCCCTTACAAAGACTTTTAAGGAAAGAAGTTATTAAAGAGTAACATTAAATATAACCATTAGGATGTAGTTTAATAAAGTTTGTTTTAGAGTTATGGAAGTGATTGTTTTTATTAATTAGGCAACTGTAAAAGCTGTGAAATAGCTTTCTTCTGAATAGAGTTAAATAGTCTAGATGACTTTGAGGAATGGCCTGAAACAAGAAAACATCATTAGTGAACTTCCAATTTTCTTTACTCCTAGTTCTTCAAGCACTGATTTTGTTTTTCATTCCAGTTAAGTTTTTCTTTTTTTTTTTTATGACCTGTCAATCTAACCCAATAGTGATAATTAAGGAAATGGTCACATTCAAGTTGAGGTCAGATTGCTTATGGTACTTACAGTACATATTAAATGAACATTACAGGAAGTAGTTTTGTAAAAGTAGCAATAGTCTAATTTATATTATTTATAATTTGAATTTTGATATTTTATTTTGGAAAAGTTTAGACAACAAAAGTGTAGTGAATCTCATCATACCTAAGAAAATTAATATGGTTGCCATTTTCTCAACACTATTTAAAAATATTTTTCACAAAAGCTTTCTCATTTTGGAAATTTTAGTTACCCTCATTAATGATATATGAAACTCCCTTACTGTAATCTTTCAACATACTTTAGTGTACATATCAAAATGTAGCTTCAATATAAATAATTAGAGAAATTATTTGTATAAGCAGAAAAAGCCAGAAGTGGCAATATGGCTCAAGTGATAGAGTGCTAGCCTTGAGCTGGAGAGCTGAGGGACAGCACCCAGTCCCAGGGTTCAGGCCCCACAACTGACAAAAAAAAAGTCTTTTGTAAATCATTACTAAGGGAAGAATATTTGCTCAATACAAATAATTTCCCAAAGGCTCCTTTCCCGAGTTTCACTCTTTACACTGCTCTCCTCTCCCACATTATAGAGATGAACATATGCTCAGAGAGTGTGGGGCTCCTTATACCAATAACTTGATTTTGTTCTTTTGTCTTCCCTCCTCTCACCCTACCCCTAATTTAATCCTTAAATCTATGGCTTCATCTATAGCTGTCTACCATTGAGCTCTAATAACCAAATCCTGTACCCCACTGGTCTGAATCACCATGAGGGCAATCTTACTCTTTAAGCACACATACTTATCATTAATCTTTTTTCAAAATAGGAGCCATTTGAATAAGCAAATACTAAGGAGCTAATGCTTCTCTGAAAAGGTCACCTTTCTTTTTTTTGGCTATTTTTTATTATCAAGATGATGTACAGTGGGGCTACAGTTACATAAGTAAGATAATAAGTACATTTCTTGTCAAACTTGTTACCACTTCTCTGATTTTTCTCCTACTGTCCCTCATCCCTCCCAGGCCTCCCCACAAGTTGTACAAATCATTTCCAACATATTGTCTTGTGTATATTGCTGTTGCATTAGCTTCCCCCCTTGTCCTTTGTCTCTCCATTCTGTTGTTCCCCTTTCCTTCCTTAATTCAAATAAACATATATGCAGTACCAGGGTACCGAAATCAAATACAGTTACAACAGGGGATATACAAGGTAACCGTCTTAATCATCTGTTTCAGCCTTACAATTCTCTGGCCCACAGAATGACTTACTGCATATTCAGAACCTATTTCATGATTTGTAGTAGATTGTGGTTCTCTTTGATTTCTATCTTCATTATCTGCTTTTAAATGAAATATTATCATATAACATTCTTTTTAGAACTCATATCTTATATTTTATATGAATATTTGTTTGGTTGGTACCCAGAACTGAAAATATTAGTCTCATGTTTATCTTACTCAGATCAAAGGACAAAAATTATCTTTAGTTTTTTGATGTTCTGCTTAAATTGTTGGCAGGCATGGCATATTGCTGATTCATATGAAGCCCACTTAGTTTCTTTGATTATTATTTTGTTGTTGTTGGTTGTGGGGCCTGAACTCTGGGCCTAGGCGCTGTCCCTCAGTTCTTCGGTGCAAGGCTAGTGCTCTACCACTTGAGCCACAGCACCACTTCTGGCTCTTTCTGCTTATGTGGTGCTGAGGAATCGAACCCAGGGCGTCATGCATGCAAGGCAAGCACTCTACCACTGAGCCACATTCTTTAGCCCCCTTGATTAATTTTAAGGCAAGCCACCATTAAATAAGGTTCACCTGCATTCTTCCTCATATTCAACTCTGAGCTTTCACATGATGATTGTGAAAGTTCCTACATAAGTATACAGGGTGACCACATCTTAAGTACATCTTCTGGATGATCTACTGGAGTTCCTTCCAGCCAAGGAACAGTGATTTTTTTTTTCTGGTATAATTCCCAGTAAGACCACTGGACATCATGGAGTCAGGTACTCCTGATACCACTGTTAAAAACCTAAAATAACAGTTACCTTAAAAATTGGATCAAGGGAGAGCATTTGTTTCATTTCTTTAGAGTCCAGGGATCATTTTGTCCTACAATCTGTAATGAGATTATTACTGCAGCTATGGACTTATAGTCAGTCATGTTAGACAAGTTATACACTAATACACAAAATGACACAGGAAACAATTACATTAATTCAGAATGTTCTGTTAGGTAAACATTGTTTTGTCTTTTTAAAATTTTTTTAGTAATAGGTTTAAAAAACTTAGACAGCTAGTACAGGGGGCACCAAGCAACAATGCATTACATTCTTTTCCCCCCTCTTTTTTATTATCCTCAAATGGTTGTTCAAAGGGGCTCAATTTAACATGCTGCTTCATGTGTACAATGAGCAGTGCCACCTCTCCCACCTTTCCATCTATCCCATCCTCCACTCAAGTTTCCTAATTCTATTTTGTATTTTCTTGGCCCATTATTCAGTTGTAAGGCATTTGGGCTTGTACTTTTCCTTATACTAGTTCACTACTGAGAGTAGTGCTGTGATGAACATGGGTATTCAGGTGACTTTATTGTATTCTGATTTGCACGCTTTAAGATAAAATGCCAAAAGATAGTATCTCAGGATTATAGAGTAGTTCTAGTTTTTTTGTTTTGTTTTGTTTTAGTCATCTCCATACTGACTTCCATCTACTATATTGCCCCAACTTCCATTTGCACCAACATTATATTAGTATTCCCTTTTCCTGTATCCTCATTAGCCTTTGTTTATATTCTTGATGATGGCCATTTTGACTAAAGTAAGTGTTGTTTTGAATTTGCATTTCCTTTATGGCCGAGATGCTGAGGATTTCTTCATGTATTTATTGACTTATTTGTAGTTCAGCTTAGTTGCCCATTTACTAATTGGATTATTGACTATGACAGTTCAGTTTTTGGATCATATATATTCTGGTTAGACATATAGCTCGCAAAAATTTTCTTCCGTTCTGTAGACTTTCTTTTTAGCTTAGTGACTAAGTCCTTTGAAGTGCAGAAGCTTTCTGGCTTGATCCAATCTCAATTGTCAATCCTTTGATCTGTTTAACTGAGCACTAGAGTTTTATCTGGAATGTTTCTGGCTATGTCAATATGTTCCAGTGTTTGTCTTACTCTTTTCCAGTACTAGTTCCAATGTTTCAGTTTTTACATTAAAGTCTTTGATTCACTTTGAATTTATATTAGTTCATGTGGAGAGTTAGGAATCCAGTTTCAGTCTTTTGCCTGTGGATATCCGATTTTCCCAGCTCCATTTGTTGAAGAGGCTATCTTTTTTCAATTATATTTTTGGCTCCTTTGTTAAAAAAAATCAGATGGCTGTAGATATGGGGATATTTTTGTCTTGTTTGCATTGTATTATTGTGATTTATAATAAGAAATATATATTTGGTCTTCCTCTCTATTTCCTGGCACACAGCTTCTAAAACCCTTGGAATTACCACAGTAATGAATGGTTTTGCTGAGACTTGCTTTATGTGCTAGAATATGATCTGTTCTGGAGATTATTTCCTGGGCTGCTAAGAAGAATGAGTACTGTGAAGTTACTAGGTAAAATATTCTGTAGATATCTGTTGGATCCAGTAGTTCTATGGTGTTATTTAAATCTGAGGTTTCTTTGTTGAGTTTTTGTCTGGTTGACCTGTATTGGTAAAAATGCATGTTAAAGTCTCCAATTATTATTGTGTTAGGGCCTGTGTGTGTTATGTCTCAATAGTGTTTGTTAAAGTTGGGTGGCCTGACATTTGGTGCATAGATGTAAAGAATTGTTACTTACATCTCCTTGATAGAGAGTTCTCTTTACTAATATGAAGTGACCATCTTTGACTTTTCTGATTTTGATTTAAAATGTACTTTATTGGATACCAGTATAACTACTACTGCCAGATTTTGGATCTGTTTGCTTGGAAGAAGACTTTCTACCAGTCTTTTACCCTAAACCCCTATTATTTGTTTTTGTTGTTTGTTTTTGTTCTGATACTCAGGTTTGAACTCAAGGCCTGGGCATTGTCCTTAAGCCTTTTTGTGCAAGGCTAGTGCCCTACCACCTGAGCCACAGCTCTACTTCTAGCTTTTTTTTTTTGACACTAATTTGGACTGGCTTCAAACCTCAATCCTCAGATCTCAGCCTCCTGAGTAGCTAGAATTACAGGCTTGAGCCACCAGTGCCTGGCTTACTCCTATTGTTTTTGTCAGATACAAGTGTTGTGTCTTTTGATATAACTCAACCCTCTCTGTCTTTTGATTAGAGAATTGAGTCCACTGATATTGCGTGTTAAAACTGTACTGTGTGGGTAGTTCTAAAGTGACTTTGAATTTCAGCTTCTATAATACTTTCCACAAAAAGCAGTAAATTTTGAGATAAGTGACATGATTTTGAGCCTCTAACGGACAACTTGGAGAATAGCAGATGAAGGCCAGTTTGTAAACCTTGTTAATTGAGATTTTTCTTGAGCCAATCTCCTCATGATATGTCTCTCCTACTTTTAAAAACACAGGTAGGGAGGAGAGCTCACCTACATCTACTTTTTTCATCATATTTTACAGCAGCATATGCTGGTCACCCACAGATATATTGAATATGTATTGCCAGTTTTTTCTTATTTTATCTCTACTGGATTTTTTAGGCTTCTTTAACCCACTATAGTATAAGTTTTACCGCAGTGAGTATTTTATAGATAATACTTTCTCCAAACTTACAATTTATTTAGTTTAAATTTCAAAAAGTTGTTGAGTATGCAAAAAAATCAATTATGGTTTAGGCGTTTCATATAAATAATGATGTTTTCCGATAGTTTTACAAAAAATACACTTCTCAAAACCTTTTTCTGTATCCATGTTATCTTTATTTTAAAAAGAGCTGGGGCCGTGGCTCATGCCTGTAATCCTAGCTACTCATGAGGCAGAGATCTGAGGATCACAGTTCAAAGCCAGCCCAGGCAGGAAAGTCAGTGAGACTCTTATCTCCAATTAACCACCAGAAAACCAGAAGTGGCGCTGTGGCTCAAGTGGTAGAGTGCTTGCCTTGACCTGAAGAGCTGAGGGACAGTGCCCAGGCCCAGAGTTCAAGCCCCATGACCGAAAAAAAAAAAAAAAAAAAAGTTTTTTTTTCCTGGTTGATAATTTTTTTTCTGTATTTTTATGTCCCTTATTTTTATTGAGCATGGACTGGGAAAACTAGTAAAAAAAAAAAAAAAAGGTTTTGTGGATAAAATATAAAGCCAAAAAAAAAATCCTATAAGAAGTTTTGTTCATGGGGCTATGGTTTTTAATGCATTCAGTTAAAGCATTTTTTTTCTATGAGAACCCATTTATAATTAAAGTTACCATGGTAATTCCATATCATTTGCTTTTACTTGAGCATAAAAATGACGTCTGGTGGGAATTAGTGTGTTGCCAAACAAAGCTCATTTCTATGTGTATACTGCCACATTGTGCCAATCATGGGAACTGCACTTGTTTCACAGCTGCAGGCCAAATTTGAGCACCTTAAGAGAGCTCATCAAGAAGAACGAATGAGACTTGAAGAAAAAAGAAGAATTTTGGAAGAAGAAACAGTTGCTTTCGCTAAAAAGAAAGCTACCTCTGAGATATTCCAAAGCCAGTCCTTTATGGCATCAAGTGCCACAGTGAGAAAGGAGAAGGATCGTAAGAAGTAAGAGTCCTAGTAACCATCTTTTTGGCCCTGTCACTTAACCTCCTGTCGCCTTGCCCTGTTTGATCTTCCTCATTCTGTTTCCTTGCTTCCTTACTCCTGAGGCTAACATGGCAGCTCCTTGTGAGCACAGATCTTGTCCCTCTGCACTACAGTTTTCTCAATAGCTAGAACAACACCTGGCACATGCTAGGTGCTTAGTGTTTACCAAAGTGAGTGAATGAGTAATATGAAAATATATCATAGAGTTAAAAAGTCAGTTAGCTGGGGAAACAATTGACTGCTCTTGCTACATAGTCCACCATTGCTTAAGTACACAGCTAATGATTGCTGACCTACCATGAGTTATTTTATATTTTATGTCTCAGTTGGGGAATCATGGACATAATATACTATAAATAAACCCCTAATTCTTAGGCTCATTTCTAAAAAAACAGTTCTACTGATCATTGATTTTGTGAGAATTTTTATTTTAATAAGGGAACCAGGCTATCGATTGGAACTCCTGTGCTTTGATGTCAGAGCTTGTGAAACCAATGATGGACGTTATGATGCAGATGAAAGTAGAGAGGGCTACAATACAAGGGGGCAGCATGAGTAGCAATTGGATGATAATCTCAAGCTTGTAGGTTTTGGTATGTGTTAAAATCAAAGTTTTAGACAATAAGTTTTTCTTTTTGATATTTTCCTTCTATTCTGTGTTCCTCATTTTTTTCTACTACTTAAAATATCTTTTGTCTGTTCACTCATTTGCCTGGAGTGAAATTTATCATGATTTGTTCTGCTCAAAATGTTCCATTTTTGGTCTTTTCCTGTTTCCTGTACCTGCCTCTGCCTTAACAGTATTATGTCCTCCTGTGTTCTACACAGAACAAGGCTTTTTTTCTCAGTGCCTATATTCTATGAAATTATTTGTTGAAAGAATGAATGTTGGTATAATAGTGATGTTTGATTTAAACTTTGGATCTCAAAAGATAAACAATAAATATAATTTATTATTGCTTTCCAAAATGCTTAGAATTGTACTTGCTAAAGGATCTTTTACCTTTCTTTCCCCTTCATCTTAATCCAGAGTTACTAAAATTACATTTTCCAATTTTTCCTATATTTTGAAGACAATTTATCTTGTAAAAATTGTTTTCGTGCTGTCCTGAAAGCCATGCTTTTGTTTACAAATTAAAAGCCAAGTACATAGTGTTGTAAGCTCAAATTCATCCTCAATCCTGTGGGGTAGGAGAGCAGCTGTTAAAAGCTTGTACGAATTTTAAGTATCACAATTAAATGTTAGCTGGTTTTCCATATACAAAAAAGAAAATTGTTTGGTAGGTTCTTTGTTGTATTTTCTTTCTCTTCTCAAAGCTATCATATATTAGAAGTATATTTGCTTTTTCATAAATATGTTACTAATCAAGAGGTCTTTTTATCTTTTTCCAGCTTTAATTACATGTAACATAGGAGTTCAAGAGCAAAGAAGTCATCACAAGCAAAAGTTATTAAAAAATTATAAGTATGTGTTGATTTTCTAGTTTTTATTTGCTTTATCCCAAACCTCTGTTTGACAACTGGGCATAGTAACATTTATGGAAAATATTTTAAAGTATAAGGTCAGTACATAAGCCAGAGTGCATTTTCTTACATATTTACTGTTGTTTGAAATCTATGAGTTGCTATTTTTGCCATGACTATATGTCTCTTGTGCTGCTGCCAAGTTCTTGTCTCTTTGCCATGCTTTATATCAAAAGAGCAACTGTGCCATTGAAAATACACAACTCCTTCATACTATGGCTATATGATTGCATTTCTATTCCAGGCTCATCCTGTCTTTTTTGCATATATTAAACAAAAAATTGGGGAATAAGTTTTGGGGTATATTATAGAGCTAAACTCTTAACTCTCAAGTTTTATACAACTTTTTAATTTGTGATAGAATTATCCAATTGGCTTTTTTTGTCAAATTATATAACATGATGTCTTTTTAGGCCTTACTGTGTTTGATATATTGCTGTGATGAAACATAATATGCTTAGAAGTTAAAATATCCAGGTATTTAAACCCTTTTATCTAGTGTTAAAGTACCTTTGAACCTGGTTGTATTACATTATTTTTATTATTATATCTTAAGTACTCGATTGAATCTCTTTCTAGGAGAAAATAGTGAAATTGAGTCATTTTTATTAAAATATTTCTTAAGAATATAACTGAATGTCTGAATATTAAATATATAACATGTGATTTTATATTTCAAGGGATATTTGCATTCAATACTTTAATAACCTATGTTTTAATGGTTCCTAACTTTTTTTAATGCCAGAAGCATATAGATTTTCATGTTTTGTACTTAAATATTCTAAATAAAACTGACACATTTGGCAAATGAAATATATCTATATATTTATTAAGGCATGTTAAATTACTTTAACTTTTAATTTTTTTCTCTGTTCTTCCTCCTCCACTTTTTTTTTCTTTTTTTTGTTCTTTTGTGGTACTGGACTTTAAATTTAAGGCCTAGTGCTTACTAAGCAGATGTTCTACCAATTGAACAACTCAGCCCTTGGACAAGTCTAGGCTTTAATCCTTCTATTTGTACTTTCTTTGTTCCTGGGATGATTAGTATGCACAACTGTACTCAGCCATTGTTTGAGTTGGAGTCTTGAAAACTTTTATGCTCTTAGTGTCCTTGATCCAAGATCCCCTGAACTCTACCTCCCAAATAGCTAGGATTACAGGTTTGAGCCATTGCACATGGTTAACTTTTCTGATTTGACATATTATTTACACTTTTATGGAGCACAGTGAAATATTTCAGTACTTGTTTACAGAATGAGGAGATCTCATCAAAGTGATGGCCTTTATCATTTTTATATTGTAATTATTCGAAGTCATCTCTAATATTTAAAAATATGCACATAATTGTTGTCAACCATAGTTGTCTTACTGTGCTATAAAATACTAGAAGTTATTCTTCTTCATACCAGTATCCATTACTATCCTCTATCCTTTCCCCATCCCATTCTTAACCTCTAGTAAATCGTCTATTATTTACTTTTCTAAGACCAACTCTTTTAGCTTCCACAGATGTGTAAGAACATGTTGCATTTGTCTTTCTGTGCCTGACTTCACTTAACATAATGTCCTCCAGTTCCACTCATATTGCTGCAGTGTATATTGTATTTATAGAGTTCTGTTCGTAGTATTTATTTTTGAGAAAATCATTTCTATAATGACTATCATAATTTACATTTCCACAAATAGTAATGTGAGTTCCTCTCTTACTACATCCACACTAACGAGAGTGAGGTACAATATCATGTTGTATTTCTGAATTATATTTCTTCAATGATTAGCGATGTTGATATTTTTACATGGGCTTATTAATAATTTGTATTCCCTCTTTTGACAGAAATGGACTTTTTCTTTCAGGTCCTGTGCCTTAAACTCTGGACTTGGACATTTCTTTTGAAAATGTTTATCTAGATCCTTTTCTCATTATTATTTTTTTTTATTGTAAAGATGCTATACAGAGGGGTTAGAGTTACATGAGCAAGGTAATAAGTACATTTCTTGTTAAGCATTTTTACCCCCTCCTTGTTGACTTTGCTCATTTTTAATATATATTTTTATTGTAAAGATACTGTACAGAGGGGTTACAATCACATGAGAAAGGTAATGAGTACATTTCTTATCAAGCAACTTGCCTCCTCCTTTGTTTTTCCCCTCCCATCACTTCCCTCCCATCTCCACAACTACACTCCCCCCCCGCTCCCCCCACCAGCCTAAATTGTAAAGTTCGTTTTTTGACATAGTGTCTTGTACATCTCATTGTTGCAATGGGTCAACCTGTATTCCTGTTTAAACAATTAGTTTTTTCCCTTTCCCTCCCAAAATTATAGCAACATCAAATACAGTGAAAACAGGGGTTATACCATGGGGAAGGGACATACAAAGCAACAAAAAAATTCATGTGGTACCTTAAATATGTTAGAAGCAATAGCAAGAAAGAAAAAAAACCACTTGTGTCCTTATCTTGGGGTTCATTTCACTTAACATAATCTTATCTGACCTTTTTTGCTTGTCTCAGACATATACTACTTATTGCAAATAAGAGAAACCATGAGACCTATGTTTCTTTGGGCCTGGATTACTTCACTTATTGTAAAAATAGTGTACAGAAGGGTTACAGTTACATGAGTAAGGTAATGAGTACCTTTCCTATCAAGCATTGTTACCCCCTCCTTTGTTTTTCTCCTGCCATCCCTTCCCTCCCCAACCCCCCAAAGTTCATTGTAAGTTCATTTTCAACATAGTGTCTTGTACATCTCATTGTTACAGTGGGTCAACCTGTATCCTTGTTTCAGCATTTTGTTATTTCCCTACCCCTCCCCAAATTAGAAAAATGTATATACAAGATGCAGGGTATTGAAATCAAATACAGTGAAAACAGGAGTTGTACCATGGGAGAAGAACATACAAAAGAAACAAAAAAAAATCACATAGTACATTATAAGTACAATAAAAAAAAACAGCAAGAAAGATAAAACCTCTTGTGTCCCTATCTTGGGGTTCATTTCACTTAACATCATCTTGTATAGTCATATGAACATAGCTTTTGACCTTTTCTGCTTGTTCTAGACATATACTAATAATTGCAAATAAGGGAAACCATGGGACCTATGTTTCTTTGGGCCTGGATTACTTCACGTAATAGATAATATTTTCCAAGTCTTTCCATTTCCTAACAAATGGGGGCTGTGTCATTCTTTCTGATGGAGGCTTAAAATTCCATTTTGTGTGTGTGTGTATGTGTGTGTGTATACATACATACATATATATATATACATCAATATACATATATATATATATATATATATATATATATATATATATATATATCACATTTTCTTGATCCATTCATCTACTGAGGGGCATCTGGGTTGGTTCCATATCTTAGCTATGGTGACTAATGCTGTGATAAACATAGTTGTGCTGATAGCTTTAGTTTGGCCTTATTTGTGATCATTTGGATAAATGCCCAAAAGTGCGATTGCTGTGTCATAGGGGAGCTCTAGAGTCTTTTGAGGAACCTCCATACTGCTTTCCAAAGTGGTTGAACAAGTTTACACTCTCATCAACAATGTAGCAGGCTTCCCTTTTGCCACATCCCCTCCAGCATCTGTTGTTGTTAGAGTTCTTGATTATAGCCATTCTAACTGGGGTGAGGTGGAATCTGAATGTGGTTTTGATTTGCATTTCTTTTAAGGCTAGAGAAGTTGGTCTTTGCTCATTTTTTTTTATTGTGAAAATACCGTACAGAGGGGTTACAATTACATGGGCAAGGTAATGAGTACATTTCTTATCAAGCATTGTTGCCGCCTCCTTTGCTCATTTTTAAACTGGATTTTTTTGCTTGCTTTGTTTTTGTACTTTGGTTATCTCATATGTGCTTTTAGAATCATATTCAAAAAATCTTTGCCAAGACTTGCACTACAGCGATTCTCTGCCCCCCCCAGTGTTTTTGTGATTTCAAGCAAACTATTTTTCTAATGTTGATTTTTGTATCTATGGTGAATGATAAGGATATAGATTCCTTCTTCTTCATTTGGATATCCAGTTTTCCTTGGACCATTGACTAAAGGAGACTTCCCTTCACCAATGGATAGTCTTACTGTTTTTATTAACAACAACAAAATCGGGTGGCTGTGAGTACATGAGTTATTTCTGGTTGATCTGTTTTATTGGTGTGTATTGTTCGGTTTTATGCTTGTATTGTGCTGTTTTGGTTTCTATGTCTTTTTAGTATGTTTTGTTCTTTTTGTTCAGGATTGTGGTTCCATGTGAATTTTAATACTGCCTTTTCTATTTCTGTGAGGAGTATCATTCATTTTTGATAGGGCTTAAATGAAATCTATAGATGGTTTTAATATGGATACTAATCCATAAATATGTAGTTTTTTCCATTTGTGTGTGTGTTTCAATGTTTTATAGTATTTTTATTCTTTCATTCCCTCAGTTAAATTTGTTCCCAGGTTTTGGAGGGTTTTGCGACTATTATACATTTGATGCTTGCTTGGTTTCTTTTGCAGCTAGTTTACTATTGGTATAAAAACTGAATTTGCTTGCCATTTCTAACAGGGTTTTTTTTGGGGGGGTGGATATATACATGGCATCTCCAGGAATAGTTTGACCGATTCCATATTTCAGTTTGGAGACCTTTTATTTCTGTTGCCTAATTATTCTGGTTAGATATTCCATTACTGTGTTGAGTAAGAGTACCAAGAGTTCTAGATCTTAAAAGAAATGTTTTCAGGTTTTTTCTCTTTCAAAATTATACCAATTGTAAGTTTGTCATATGTGGCCTTGTGCTGAGATACAGTTCTAGTTTTGTTGCAAAAATTCATGAAGTGATGTTGGATTTTTTTTGTGTGTGAAAATACCATATAGAGGGGTTACATGGGCGGCAAGATAATGAGTACATTTCTTATCAAGCATTGTTGCCTCCTCCTTTGTTTCCCC